TGTTATCTTTTAACTGTTGACTTATTAGTTCATTATTTGATAAATCTGTGCCTTAAAGTCCCACCAAGAGGACTTCTCTATTATGTTTTCAGGGATGGATGCACCTCTTGTATTGTATCCCTCCTCCTTTCTAAATTTCATCATAAATGTAGGCCAAAATATATTCTGCTACATGTCTTTGCTAAGAAAAAAATCCCAATACTTGTAAATTAATAGATTAACATGTAAGTTACAGCAATTACAAATGGCAGTATATATACTGGAATTTTTTTTTTTTTACTAGTAATGGTGGCGATCAGCAATTTATAGTGGGACTGGGGCAGCTATTCTGACACTGAAGGGAACTGACTTGGTGTCACTGACATCCCCAGTGACACCAATACAGTGATCAGTGCTAATAAAAAGCACTGACACTGTACTAATGGCACTGGGCAGGAAGGGGTTAACATGTGGGGCGATCAAATGGTTAACTGTGTGCTGCTTTACTATGAGGCTGTGTGCAAGAGCTGGCAGGGGAGAGATCTGTATTGTTTACATACAGGTCTCTCCCCTGTCGGAAATCCTCGGAGATCACTGTCCAGCACACGGTGATTGACAGCCGAGGCTGCGAATGGTGGCGCAGGTAGGGTTCACGTGCGGCATGCACATGTCCCCTACCCGTAACTGCAAAATCACACATATATATATATATATATATATATATACACACATGTGATTTTGCACACCCGTGCCACCCTGTAGCAGTATTTCTGCTATAGGGCGGCATGGAAGCAGTTAAAGAGAAGGGTATTCAGTGATCTTCTACAGGTGGATAGATTAGGAGATAGTCAGACAGATTGGGGTAGGGAGTTCTATAGGATGGGTGAAGCTTGGGAGCAGTCCTGGAGGCGAGCATGGGAGGAGGTGACACGGGAACTAGAGAACAGAAGGTCTTGGGAGGATTGCGGAGAGTGGTTTGGTTGATATGTAGCTTGGGGCAGAGTTGTGGACAGGGTGGTGATGTAGCTGGGGGCAGAGTTGTGGACGGCTTTGTAAGTTGTTGTCAGTATTTTGAATTTTATTCATTGGGTGAGTGGAAGCCAGTGGGGATTGGAAGAGAGTGTTCATTTTGTGATCATTATAATCTTTGGTCATATGTACTTGGCAAGCGAGTGTTTAAGAAGAGGATTCGCACTTTTGGAACATTTGTTGATTTACTCTGTTACATCCACTAATATTTTCATTTGAGCTTTTATTTCACTTGAACTTAGAAATATTTTTCAGTCTTGTACACTTATAATTTGAAAATATTTTCCAAGATAAGCACTGAACGTTATATATTTATGTTCATTTGCTATCACAAATAGATGTCAGCTGCTTTAAATTTATAACTCCGAGAGCGGTAGTGGATTTGTTTTTAAATAGCCTATTGGGTGGAAGGAAAACTATAGCGTTTTTGCTTGCACATGATTGGATGATGGAAATTGGCAGAATTTCACCACATTCACTAATCTCTGGAGAAAATGAGTGCAACTATACTTGCAAAGTGCACAGTTTATTTATAAACATGCATAATTCTGCACTAAGAAAATTATTGTGTTTATAGATGGAAACACAGCTGCTGGCAGAAGTTAACATACTGTATACAAAAACCTCTCAAGATGGAATTCACAAAGTGAAGCACTATTCTAAACCAATAATTGAAACAAAAATAAAGATAAAAGAGATTATCAAAAGTAAAGTCCAACATATGCAAATTAATCTTGCTTAAGTGTTAAACAACAAAAGTCCACAAAAAGTGCAAAAAGTACTTCCAGAAGTCAAAGAAGAAGCCACCCGCTCATCCAATAGGGCTGAAGGGAAACACCTAAGAGATCCAGTTAAGATGAAAGTGAGTTAGGATGCTTACCTGAACTATTTGGCTTTCAAATTATTGAAAAGCCAAGAGCGATTTAGGGATAAACCCCAAACTGTTCCGAGGTAGATGGTGAAGAAGCGAGCTGAACCTCCTCTCGAGCATAAAGTGCCCTAGTACTGTGTTTTATTGTGCAAAGAGTTCTTATAATAAAAAGTTAATTTCATTAAAGTTCCATTTACAAAGTGCTCTGGTGTTGTCTCTTCTTCTGCAATATTCATACATACCAGTTTTCACTCCAAGTTCTCCAGGTAATCATCTATCCTTTTTGGACAGGCTCTCTACCCCCTCAAATCGCTGTGTATAATTGTCCTTATCCAGTTGGTATATAATAAAAGAAAGAAGCAGTCCAATAGTGTAATCCCATATATAAAACAAAGATTTATTAAAACAAAAACTACTCACATTGATACAAGCATGAAACACATTTCACAGAACCACCAAATCTCTCCTCACATTACGGCATGCAGAGCCGGCAACCTGCTGCTCAGTGTAATGCTCTAGCTGGCGATCTCCCAGAGTGGTCTATTTGCCTTTAGTATTTACTTATTTCAGGAACTTATATAGCGTTGTCATTTTATGCAGCGATTTACATATATATATTGGACATTCACAGCAGTCCCTAACATTCAAGGGGTATGCAATCTAAGGTCCCTAACTCAAATTCATAATACACAAATAAAGGGCTGAAAGTCATCCCGATGGCAACTGGAGGACAACCACCCAGCAATGACTGTCCTGGCCAGGAGCCGTGAGGGGGAATGGAGCAGCCCGCTAGGGGCATACAGCAGGAGGTACAGGTGGAAACCATCAGAGGATAGGCACAACAGGTGAAAAAACAAAAACAGGAAAAAGAAAAAAAAAGAAACACTGACAGGAAAAGAAGCCAAAGTGATAGGTGCGAAATGTGAGCCAGAAAAATCAGGAAATACAAACAAAGGGTCAACACTAAAAAATTGTTTAAATTGAGAGGGAGACTGGAATTATCCAGTGACTAGTGAATAAAGTGCAAGTAGACCCAATGCAAACAAATACAAATAAAAAAGCGGTGAAAAACAGGAAAGTGCAATCAGAAACAACAAACACACTGAATAGAGAAAGTGAGTGAGATCAACATGTTAAAAAAAGGGATGAATAAATAGTCAGAAATGTACAGTATATGTAAGAAATCTCCCCCAACTCAAAGCAGGCCAGTGAATGATGACAAATACATGCATGCAAGTAGTGGAAGTAAAGTACATCAAAACAGCCCAAAGAAAGTCAATCAAATGTAAAGACATGAAAGGGCAAGTGAATAGATGGAAATTTCTAATTGGAGAAGAGTTTTGTATATGTAAGAGGTTTAGAAAATAGGCAGCCCCATAAATTAAAATCCAAAGCCTAATACCTAATATAACAGTAATCTATCTTTGTCAATGGAAGATACTAGTGATTGTATTTTTATTGTATCACCACAAGATGGCAGAACTACATCCTGTATATAATAGAAGGACACAGAAGGGGGAACTGAAAGTCTAACACTTTGTTTCCGGCAGAACCTTGATTACAGTGGACATCTGGTCTCATGCCATTAAGAGTTTCCTGTGTTTATTACAGCTGTTCCTAATAAAGCACTTCTGGTTTCACTCGACCCATCCTTCACACAGTGGAATTATTAACTGTATGTGCAACAAAATTGGCGCCCAACGTGGGGCCGGGTGAAAGGAGAGCTGAAAAGTCACAGAAGTGAAAAGGAGTGACTACGCTATCCGTGGTGAAGTTACAGAAAAACATTAGGAGTATGGATATCGAAAAGTTGCAAGACAAAATCAGTGAACACCTGATTCACATGCCAGTCGATGATCTCATGGAGACTTGCCAGTTTATAAAGGCCTCCAAAGCAAGTATGGCAAAAGGAAAAACCTGGCGCCATTACATGCGGATAGTGAATGAGGTGTTAGATTAACTGGTAGACACTGAAAGTGAAGAAGTGGTGACACAATTTCTTCAGGCAACTAACATTTTGCTTGAGGTGATTGTAGCCGTATTAGTGCACTTGCGACAGAAACAATTGAGTACTGACGTGATACTTTTTTTAATACCCAGAAAGCTTGTCCTCAAAATTGTATGTTAGTGCAAATAAAAAAAGCATCACGTCAGTACCCAATTGTTTCAGGCAACTAAGAAATTCATTGGTGAGTTAGAGAAAAGAGATAACATGGAAGCACCAAGCGATAGTGGCAAAGACCCTCAAGCGGAACAACAGTTAAAGGATTTAAAACGGCAATACCACAGTGTACAGGAAAAACAAGAAACAGCCAAGATGATAGAGAACAGATGAAAGAACTTAGCACTAAAGACAAAGACTCAAAAGGAAGTCCTGCAAAACAAGACCCTATTCTAGTTGCTCAGAGACTTTCCCATACTAACTTGCCAGCAGTTACAAACAGAAAGGACTTTAAAATTGTTGGTCAGATAGGTGAGTGAAAAGGAACAGAAAGACAAGCTGTCTTATACTAACCTTGTGCACCAGATTGACATGGGACTGCAAAAGGGATATCCTGAGTCAAAGCTTGTGGAAGCTGTGGTCAAAGCCATTAGTCCTGGTTCAAGTCTCAGAGGCATGCTAGAGCTGAAGAGTGGGCTGACCCTAGTGCCACTCAAGAGAATCCTAAAAAGCCATTATAAAGAGGAGAATGCTTCTGAACTATACCAACAATTGATCAATATATCACAGAATAGTAAAGAGACCCCCCAGAATTTCCTATTTAGGGCCATTGCATTGAAGGACTGTTTGCTGTTTGTTTCACAAGCGGAAGGTTCAGATGAACACTTCAGGACTGAATTTATACAAAAGAAATTCTTAAGGTCGGTGGGCAATGGACTGCGAAGTGACCATATCAAATTCCAACTAAAACAACACTTGGACGATCCTACAGTCTCAGATGAGTTGCTCATAGAAAAGAGGGATGAGGCTAAGAACATGGAGATGGAAAGGGAGCATAAACAAAAGAAATCTCAGCACAGTAACCTGACAAAGGGAAGAGAGTGCCAGGCCAACATCCTCCATTGTTCTCAGGAACCAGGCATCCTCCCTTTGCCTCCACCACAAGCAAGTAGTCTGGCAATCCAACAGCCTTCAAAGAATAACTCTGACCTTGAAAAGGTAGTAATACAGTTGCAACAAGAAATGTTCAATATGAAAAACACTTCTCCAAGATTTCAAGAACTCGACAAGAGCATGGCATTAGAGGACCTAGAGCAGTGATGGCGAACCTTTTTGAGCCCGAGTGCCCAAACTGCAACACAAAACCAACTTTTTTATTTCAAAGTGCCAACACTGGAATTAATCACTTGCCTACCGGGCACTTCTACCCCCTTCCTGCCCAGGACAATTTTCAGCTTTCAGTGCTTGTTGCACTTAACAAAGACAATTGTGCGGTCATGCAACACTGTAACCATATGCAATTTTTATCATTTTTCACACAAATAGAGATTTTTTTGGTGGTATTTAATCACCACTGGGTGTTTTATTTTTTGCACTATAAATGAAAAAAGAGCAAAAAATTAAAAACATAAAAGGTTTCCTTTGCTTCTATTCTAAAATTTTGCAAACAGGTAATATTTCTTCTTTGATGTGCGTTGGTGAGGCTGCACCGATAGGCAGCACTGATGGGCATTGATGAGGCGGCACAGATAGGTAGCACTGATGAGGCGGCACTGGTGAGCATTGATGAGGAGGCTCTGATGATGCACTGATATGCAGGAAATGATGGGCACTGATAAGCGGCACTGACAGACGGCACTGACCGGCGGCACTGCTGGGCATCATTGATGGGTGGCACTGATGGGCAGCACTAATGAGGTGTCACAGATAGGTGGCACTGATAGGCGACACTGAAGGGTACTGATAGACAGCACTGATAGGTGGCACTGACTGACATCACTGCTGGGCACTGACTGGCACAACCACTGGGCACTGACTGGTGGCACTGACTGGCAGCACTGCTGGGCTGCACTGATGGGCACTGGTGGGTGGCACTGGTGGGCACAGGTGGGCGGCACAGGTGGGCACTGGTGGGTGCATTGCTGGGCACAGGTGGGCGCACTGTTGGGCACAGGTGGGTGCATTGCTGGGCACAGGTGGGCGCACTGCTGGGCACACGTGGGTGCATTGCTGGGCACAGGTGGGCGCACTGCTGGGCATAGGTGGGCGCATTGCTGGGCACAGGTGGGCGCACTGCTGAGCACAGGTGGGCGCATTGCTGGGCACAAGTGGGCGGAACTTGTGTGTGTGGCACAGGTGGGCACCGATCATCAGGGCACTGATGATCAGTGACCCTGATGATCGGTGCCGATCCCTGTTCTGACAACTGCCGGTTTTCGGCAGTACTTTCCTCACGATCTGACAGCGTGAGGAAAGTGCAGCCGAGAACCGGCATTTGCATTTCCCGGTGATCAGCATGTCATTGGACACGGCTGATCACGTGGTAAAAGGCCGCTGTGATTGGCCCTTTTACCATGTCACGTGATCAGCTGTGTCCGCAGGACACAGCGATCACGGAGATCGCCCGGTGCGCGCCCCCGGAGGTGCGCAGGAGAGCGCGTTCTCTTCCTCTTCCTCTCTTCCTCCTGGCGTGCCCACTGAGATGGCTCTGCGTGCCAGCTCTGGCACGCGTGCCATAGGTTCGCCATCACTGACCTAGAGCAACGGTTGTTTGGAGGACAGGGGCTTGTCAATCTTGAGAAAAGACTGATCAGAGAACTGCATGTGACCATTGTCTTAACTGTGGTCAACCTGGACATAGGGCGAGACAATGCAGAGTGGCCAAACAAAATCAGTTAAACAGGAGAGGGTTGCTGTTAAGGGACCGACGGTAACATGTGCCAGAATCAAACCTGCGTACCAAAATGCAACTTGTGTCAGTAGTAAAGAAACCAGTCCCCAACCTATCATCAGAGCCCTGCTCAAAGGTTATCCCCGACAGCTGAAAAATTGCCAACCAACGTGAATGGCATCACCTTGAAATAGCACAACAAGCTACTGGGTCTTATTGGAAAGAGATGCTTTTTGTGAACTGTAAAATAGACAACACTCCTGTCCAGGCCTTATGGGATACTGGCTCTCAGGTTAGCATTATCAATGAGGGCTGGAGAAAGCGAGTACTACCACACACTGTGCTCCAATCATTTGAAGAACTGCTGGGGCAAGGGAAAGCAGCCAATGAGATGAAGATTCCGTTCTCAGGTTGGATTGAGGTAACCTTTCAGCTTACATCAAGCAGTAATACTACCAAGCAGTTATTAGTACCACTAGTAGTCTCTGAGGATGAGAAAGTAGCTGAGAAGCCAATTATCTGCTATAATATAATTGAAGAAACATTCAAAGAGACAGTTGCTGATGGGAAGAAAGTTATCCCAGGTTTTGTGGACATATTAAGAACAGCTTTGGAACTGCCAACCCCCAAAGCAGAAGTCCTTGTAAGCTTACTACAAGCCAACTACAAGCTAACTGTAGGGAAACCAGTGGTGCTATCGTAAAGTTTGGTACTAAGAACCAAAGAATCCCTGCAACTCCTGTAACATACATCTGGTGTAGTGCTCACACCAAACCGTCCTTGCAGTCCCAGACAGTTTTGTTTACACCGAGTGAAGCTTATCACCTGCAGGATGGACTGCATATTGGTGAGACATTAGTCTCATTTCAAAAAGGACACTTCTCCAAACCATTCCAGTTTGGAATACAACTAAACAGGGCATTGTGTTACCAGGTCAAAGAAGATTGGAGGCGTCGAACCCATAAAAACAACATATCCAGCTCAAGTACAATTGAAACAATCAGCAAATGTGTTTACTAACTCGGTGACCTCTGAACCACAGACACTCAAGATAGGACCAAAAGGGAACATTGGAAATCCAAAAGAGACTTATCCGTGGGTGGGGGATGACAATCAGGAGCTCTGGGATCCGCCAGTGCCTCTGAAACACCTCCCTGCTGAGGATCAACAAATCGTCAAAGAAATGCTAAGGGAAGAATGTAATGCTTTTGCCAAAGATGACTCTGATGTAGGATGTATTCCTTCTTTACAGTTACAGATTTGTCTCAAAGACATCACACCAGTCACAAGAACCTACATGTCTGTGCCGAAACCACTGCACCAAGAAGTAAAGTAATGTCTGCAGGATCTAATAAATCGGGGATGGATTGCATAATCAATATCGTCATACTCCTCACCCATTGTGTGCGTAAGAAAGAAAGATGGCAGTTTAAGACTGTGTTGCGATTATAGAGAGTTGAAATATTCCTGACCGTCATCCAATTCCTAGGATCCAAGACATGCTGGACAGTCTAGGAGGAAGTTCATGGTTTTCTGTGCTAGACCAGGGGAAAGCATACCATCAAAGATGTGTGGAAGAAGCCAGTCGACCATTGACAGCATTCATTACACCTTGGAGTTTGTATGAATGGATCTGAATACCCTTTGGTCTGAGCTCTGCACCAGCCAAATTCCAACACAGTATGGAGACATGTTTAATGGGACTGAGAGATGAGATTTACCTGCCATACTTAGATGACAACCTCGTCCATAGCAAATCCTTCCAGGAGCATGTGGAGCATGTCCGGTCAGTACTCCAACGTTACCAACAACACAGAGTCCAATTAACAGCCAGGAAGTGTGAACTTTTTCAAAATAAAGTCAGATTCCTGGGCAAGATTGTGTCAAAAGAAGGCCACTCTATGGACCCACCAGACACGGCACCTGTTCTTGCCTTAAGAAACAACCAAACAAAGACTGACGGAGAACTCAGGAAACCAAGAGGATTTATTTCCTACTATCGTCCTTAAGTTCACAACTTCTCCAGAATTGCCAAACCTCTCTATGAATTATTGTCAGCAGGTTTGACACCTACCACAACCTCAACACCTGCTAACCAGACAAAGAAGAAGAGGAAACCAATCCCAAAGTCAAAAGGTCAACTTCCATCCTATTAGTCTATAGCCTGGACTGACCAACATCAGGTAGTACTAAACAAGCTCATTGAAGTGTTAACTCATCCTCCAGTTATGGGTTACCCCAATTATTCCAAACCCTTTGTTCTTCACTGTGATGCCTCACAAGAAGGACTAGGAGCTGCATTATACCAAGAACAGGAGGAGCTCGAGTTTCTAGAAATGAAGTGGGCAGTATGTGATAGATTCCGAGATTACCTATATTACTGTCCATCATTTGTGGTATATACTGACAACAATCCACTAACCTATGTCCTCACTACAGCAAAATTGAATGCAACAGGCCATGTTGCAGAACTAGCTGACTTCAACTTCACTATTAAATATTGTCCCGGAAAAAGGAATGCTGATGGAGATGTACTTTCTCATATGCCATTGAGTCCTGAACAATACATGCAACAATGTTCACAAGAATTAGACCCTAAAGTCATCACTTGCATAACCCAAGCAATTCAAGCACATCAAAAAGAAAGGATACCTTGGCTATGTCCAATGATGATTGCCAATACAACTACAACAACAGATGCGGCACCAAAGAAGGTAACTCAAATACCAAAAGAGACAATAAGAACCACACAAAAAGAAGACCCTGTGATTGGACAAGTATGAAAGTACAAGATCCAAAAAACAAGCTTCCATCCAAACAGGAACAACAAGGTGAACCTGTTGATCTTTTCATACTTATGAAACAATGGACCAAACTTTTGAGACAGAAAACATCATCTGGTTCTCAACTAGTGTTGCCCAAGTTGTACCATCACTTAGTATGGAAGAAGTTACATGAAGAGATGGGACACTTAGGAGTAGAAAGGACTGTAAATTTAATCAGAGAAAGATTCTTTTGGCCACATATGCAAAGGGCCACTGAGCATTACATCACCCGCCAATGAACTTGTCTGAAAGACAAATGGCCAGTTTGGGCCCCATTGAACAATATTGTGACAACTTATCCTTTTGAGATGGTCTCCATTGACTTTCTTCATCTTGAGAAATGTAAAGGTGGATATGAGTATATCTTAGTGGTAATCGATCATTTTACAAGATTTTCTCAGGCATATGCAACCAAGAACAAGTCCGCAAAAACTATTGCCTCCAAAATATTCAATGAGTTTGCCTTGAAATTTGGATTTCCTACCAGAATTCACCATGATATAGGTAGAGAGTTTGAAAATCACTTGTTTTTGACATTAGGGAAGCACTGCCACATCCAAAATTCGCACACAACTCCATACCACCCAGAAGGTAATGGGCAAGTTGAAAGATTTAATCGTAAACTGCTATCAATGCTTTGTACCTTGTCACCAGATTCCAAAAAGGGCTGGAAAAATTCACTGGCAAAGGTAGTCCATGCATATAACTGTTATCGAAGTGAAGCTACAGGACAATCTCCATTCTTCCTACTGTTTGGAAGGTATCCAAGACTACCCATTGATAGTATGTTTAACACTCCAATAACTGAAAAATACAAGACCTACTCTGAACACATGGACAGATAGTATGACTGCGGCCTATAAGGTTGCTTCAAAAATAGCTACTCAAGCTGCACAAAGAGGAAAAGAACACTATGACAAGAAAATTCATGGAGCTGAACTTCCAGCCGGTAGCAAAGTTCTAGTCAGAAATGTTACCAAAAGAGCAGGTCCAGAAAATTGACATCATTTTGGGAAGATACCATACATGTTGTTCTTAAAAAGAAGTGTGCAGGCAGTCCAGTATATGATGTCAAACCAGAAACTGGAAGAGGCCGAACAAGGATTTTACATCGCAACTTACTATTGCCATGTGATTATCTATCTGTCCACCAAGGTCAAAAGATACCCAAAAGAACCAGTGCAAGGAAGCAAGGGAAGGATCGAAATACAACTCAACAACCTACACAGACATCCGAGGGAGAATCAGGAAATGAATCAGATCACAAAGAAAGACACTGGAGAGCCTTCATCCCAGTCACCCAGCGTGACCACCCAGAGGAAAGTACAGAGCTAAACCCAGAAGCTATTGAGTTCTACCCACGTCAGCTGGAAGTAAGTGAGTATGATTTAGAAGGAGTCACAGAGACTGAGCCTATAGATCAAATCGAACAAACTGAGTATGCATTTGAAGATATAGAAGAAGAATGCCCAGCAACAGAGAACACCACACATCTTGTTGAAAGTAATGTAGAGAAGAATAAGGACCTTTCAGATTCACTTCCTCAAAGTAGAATACAACCCTACAGGAACAGGAGACAACCAAAGATTTTGACATATGACACTTTGGCCCTGATTTACTAAGAATTGAGTCTACCAGCAGACGCTGAACATTCAGGCAGACTCAATTCAATCAATCTAGACCTGTCAGACATCAGAAAGGCATCTAGCAAGCTCAATGAAAAGAGTCTACTTTGTAGACTCTTTCCTGTTAGTAAATCCAGAATCACGTCAGGCACATTTCTAGATGCAATACCGGATATGTTTGCTAGGTGGCGCACAACCACGGGCTTTGTCCCATTGGCTTTTTTCTGTTTGCATATGAGAATATTTATAATTTAAAATAAAAAGCACACCTATATTATAATTTTTTTTTTTTTGCTGTTTCTCCAAAAAATGATTGGCCAACTAATGCATTTCCTAATGAATGTCATGTATTCTATTTTCAAATGTCAACATTTTCACACTTTTATCTCAAATAATTTGAATGTCTAGTTCTAATTACCCAATATAATTATATATCTTCATTATCTTTAATCATGTAACTATTCTACATTCCAGCTCAAACTCTGTCTCCTACAGTGGCTTAGTGGTTAGTACTCAGGACTTACAGTACTTGGGTGATGGGTTCTAATCCCAGTCATAGCTGACCTGTCTGGAATTTGCACAGA